CAGCTGAGGAACCTGGAGGGAGCACGACCGCTTTGCAACACAGGGGGTGGTTGTGAGTTAGGGCCAAGTCCATCACACGAACCACTGATAGTCTAAATATAGCCCTCTTGTCCTGAGGGACCACCACACTCGGCTCAGTCTTTCCAGGGGAGAATGAAGAATAGGCTGTGACAATGGGGCTGGATACTTGAGTTTATTTCATGGGAGGTGGTTCCTTTCCTAGAGGGGAATTTCTCTGTGTGTAATTATGGGTGGGAACCTTTGAAACACATATTCTTGGCTCCCTTCCAATACTGGTGTTTATAACTCTGGTTGGAAGCCGAGGAAAGCACTAGGAAAGCACTAGGTAGCTTCAGATTCTGAAATTTGGTGGTGTAGGTTTTACTGTGGTTCCATATCTTCAACCACAAAACTTATTTTTTGGCAGTTTGCAATGTCTTTAGGAAGGACACTAAGTTGGGCAAAGGATGGGAGGTGAGGCAGAGTGTGAGCAGATTGGAAAAGATGGAAACTCTGAGGGGGGTTCTTTTATTGAAATGTCGGTGAAGAAAGTTATTAAGAATAAGGGTGTACGTTTTTGTGAGAAGATACGCAACTAGATAGCTGCAAGCATGATGTACCTTTGGGTGGCGCCCCCAAAGGTCTTTCTTTAGAAGAAACCCTGAGAATTACTCTGAATTGGATACTCCTGTTTTAAGTAGGTGACTAGACCCATCAGGACGACTTCTAGTCTCTGTTCCCTTCTCTTCGTGTCCGTACATGCCTCCTGTCTCACAGCGGGGCAGGGCATACTGTGGGCAGGATGCTGAAAGCACAGAATCACCTATTAAGGACTTCAGACCCTCGCTCATGTCTTTACTCTCCTAGAGATGCACGTCTGTCTTACTCCGGGGCACACGTGACATAATTATGAAATGCCCTGTGGCCATTTCAACTCACAGAACACTGTTTATACCATTCAAGGCAGAATCTAGTACTATCAGCTGACAGGTTTTGCATTCTAGCATTTTATTGTGGTTTAACTTTTTCCTTGTACTTCTCCAGGAAATTCATATTGTGAAATGAACATATTGTGAAATGTTCAGTCGCCAAGTTGTGGTGGTGAAGCCTGACAGGTATAAACTCTTTATAAACGTCCATCAGTTACTAGCTACTTCGTTGATCATCTTCAGTTATAGATTAATTTGGTTCTAAGTGATCTTTACTTTTCTTCGTAGTGAAATCTCACCCCAAACCTAGAGCTATCAAGTCCAGTCTGATTCATAGACCTGGATCAGACTGGCATGTGGGGGGCCACAGAAAGCAAGGGATAGCAGGTGTCCATCATGTCTAGTTGGATAACCTCGGCAGGGTTTACAAAATTGAAGCTCTTTAGACTATCTGTTCTTCAGAACCCAGACTGACTAAAAAACATGCTGTCATCGAAGAGGAGGTAGTTTATTGTGCCAACCTGGCCGATAAACACATGTGAAGTGAATTGAAGGGCAGAGAGAGAAATGGCTCAGTGAGCCTCACCTTTCTAGTTCTTGGGTCTCTGGCTTTCTGATGGTCGGACCAGGGTGCAGCTTCCTTAGCCAGTTCCCTGCTTCAGCTGGCATGGCTCACTTCCTGCAAGACATTCCCAAGAAGCCACATGGACCTACCCCAATGCAGCCTTGGGTGCTGGAGTAGCAGTGTGGCGACCCCTGCCAGAGCTGAGATGCTTACACATTCACTGACGCAGCTTTCCTCCTGCAGTCGGCCTCATTGCGTCTGTTTTGTGAGATAGTGGACTTTGTGGATTGGTGTCAGACATATGGGTTAATATTGGACTTGTGGGTTTGGGCAGCACTGGGTTGGGATGTTTTCTTGATGTGCCCTTATCGGTCATATAAACTCTCTCTTACACATGAATTTTCTGTGGATTTGTTTCTCTAAAGTACCCAGACTAATAGAGAGTAGATCCTGACTCCTATAGGACAACTCCTTAGGGTTCTAAGGCTGTACACCTTTATGGGAGACCATTTCAACTTCCTCCCTTGGAGCTGCTGGTGGGTTGGAACTGCCGATCCTGAGGTGGCAGCCCGATGCTTCACCTGGTGCACCACCAGGGTTCCTTTTGCAGTAAAGAATGCTCCTTAATTGTAAGAGGTGAAGATGTGTTTGAAGATATGAGCGAGTTAACCATGAAATCTCCCTCTTCTAATTCGTGGTATAACCTGCATTTAGTATATATTCAAAAGGTAACAGGGGTTTACATTTCATTGAATTTGATGGGCAGAAATACAATTTAAAATCTTATGCTGATCAAGGCTTTGTTGTCTGGGAAAAATATGGTCTTTGGTTTTACAACATGTACTTTCACAAGATCATCTTTTTGTTTCCTTCAGATCAACATCTGCATATTCCAATCCTACTGAATACAATTCCACCTCAGTAAACACACAGGTACACATCATACTCCCAAAGATTTATTTAGAAGGATATACACATTTTAACAGTTCTCTCTCTAGGATGTTTCCTTATTTTTTGCTAATAAGTATTTTCTGTTTTTCAGTAATAAGAAAACATTTTGAAAGTTACTTTAAAAGAGGGGAGTTGTGGTCAGAAAGTACAAAGCATGTGATAAAAGTTGTATGAGTCCCCAATAAAATGAAAAAAAAAATAGAATTCTGTGATTGCTCTAATTGCCAACAGCTGGAAACCAACCAGCAGCTCCTTAGGAGGAAAAGGTAGATTTTAGACTTTCTCCCTCAGTAAATGACAGCCCCTGAGATAAGTGATTGCACACTGGTCATCTCAAATGGTCGTTGACTGAGGATCACCTTCCTTAAGAATAAGACCTCTCTCTGGCTCCCCCACTTAAAATCACTACCAACTGTCTTGGATTTGTTTAGGAGTAAGATACAATCTTAAAACTTTGCACATGTAATTGCTAAATGTGTACTGATGAAGTGAATATTAAATGCTCTATTTTGTACTGCAATCCCTTTATGATGATCGTATAGGTTTTTTATTAATCATTTTATTGGGGGTTCTTACAGCTCTTATAACAATCCATACATCAGTTGTATCAAACACATTTGTATATATTGCCATCCTTTTCAAAACATTTTCTTTCTGTGTCAGCCTGTGGCATCAGCTTTTTTCCCTCCCACCCACCCTTGAGGAGGCCTGATAAATTATAAGTCATTTCCATATCTTACAGTCTGCTGTTTCCCTTCACTTGCTTCTGTTGTTTGTCCCCGTGATGGGGAGGGGTGGGGTTCTATGTTAATCATTGTAGTCAGTTCCCAGTTTCTCCTCCCTCCTTCTCCATACCCTCATGGTATCGCTACTCCCATTACTATTCCTCAGGGGTTTATCTATGCTGGATTCTATGTCAAGAGCTCTAATCTGTGCCAGTGTACATGCTCTGGTCTAGCTGGATTTGTAAGGTAGAACTCGTGTCATGATGGTGGGATTGAAGGAAGCATGAAAGAACTAGAAGAAAAAAAAAAAAAAGAAAGAACTAGAAGAATGTTGTGTTCTCTCGGTGCAGCTCCGTGGCTGACTCGTCCCTTCCTTGTGAACCTTCTATAAAGGGATGTCCAATTGTCTACAGATGGCCCTTGGGTCTCCTCTCCGACCCCCATCATTTACATTGACATATTTTTTTGGGTCTTCTGATGCCTGATACCCAATCCATCAAACCCTCATGATCACACAGGCTGGTGTGCTTCTTCCATGTGGGCTTGTTGCTTCTCTGCTAGATGGCCACTTGTTTAACTTCAAGCCTTTAAAACCCCAGATGCTCTCTCTCTCTCAATAGCAGGGCACCATCAGCTTTCTTCACATTTTCTCATGCACCCATTTTAACTTCAGGGAT